TCCCGGGGTTGACACCGATAGAGACGATGCCTTGGTCTCCATATCGGCGTGCGAGCTCACTACTCACCACCCCGTTGCCCTATAACAGAAGTCAACTAAATGGACCTATACGACACGCAGGTGCTCACCAGTTTACTGTTCCCATAAAGATACACCTTGTCCTTCTTCCGCCTCGCAGGTCCATCTAACAACACATTATAGTTGATCCCCTCCTCAGGCGGATGCAGCTGGGTTCCCAGCGATCCGGTCGTGACGATACGCGATTTGGTCCCACTCGTCGCAGCCGTAGAGATGAGGGTCGGCAGGAGGAGTTTCGTGAAATAAAAGGGACCTGAAAATGAAACGAATGGTGAGGCGACTCGAGAAGAAGAAGAGCCGAACGAACCTAGGACGTTCGTTCCAAATGCGAGGTCGATGTTTTGAGCGGTGAGTTGGTCGATTGGGGGCCACTGGCAACGAAATGAGCTGACGATGAGAGGGACGCAACCTTTTACCCACCATGACCCCGCTGTCCGAATCCCAAGTCAATGCAAATCATACAACGCAACAAGGAGTACTCACGCATTATTAAACAACACATTCAACTTGCTCTCCTTCCTTCAAGTTCATTTAACCTGCGGCTTGAATGACGAACGGGGTATGGAACGTACCTGTTAAACTCCTCCGCAGCCTTCTTAACCGCAGCGAGGTCCGTCAAATCAAGCTGCAGAAACTCTGCCCTCTTCCCCGTCTTGGCCTCCAAATCCTTGATCGCCTCCATGCACTTGGATTCGCTCCGTCCGGCAATGTACACTTTTGCGTTGTGTTCGAGGAGGGCCTGGATACATTAGTGCTGGTCCTAAGAATGATGAGTGAGAAACGTACCTTGGCAGTCTCCTTCCCGATTCCTACGTCCACCAGTCAACCGGATAAATCGGGGGAACTTTACCAAGCCGAACGACGCACCAGTATTCGCACCCGTAACGAGCATGACCTGAAACACTCAGCCATCGCGGCCCCATGTGAAGACTGACACACACCTGCCCAGTGAGGTCGGGAATCTCGTCAACAGACCACTGTGCCCTGGGCGGGAAGAATTGGCGGAAAACTCCGTTGGCGGCCATTGTCGATCGAGAGGGAGGTCGCTGGGAGGGTGGAGGATATGGGTTCGCGGGCGCCTAGCGTGAGCAACGGCACTTTATATCACCCAGAGCCGATACAACGCGGCATGATTTGAATACTCTGGCAGTCTCGTCAGTGATATTACGAATCGGGCCGTCGGATCAGTCGCATGTCGGAATTGAGTCGGAAAATGAATAGCGAGGAGTGCGGCTTGTCAGAACACTGTAGGAACAAGGCCGTGGTCGTTATAAAAAACGCAGCGATCCGATGGCGTGAATTCGAATTCTTAGAAGGCCAGGCGCTATTTGAATGCTTCTGCTTTTTTTTTTCTGACGGGTAATTAGCTGCCGATTATGCTGTTCAAGTTGGTCATTTAATCGGACACACTTTTATTTTTAGTTTCTGTTCCAAAAGTTTTTTTTTTTCCAAGGTTAGAAAGCTCCCAGCTTATAATTCAGAGGCCTTTGGCCCGGACACCCATTTTATTGAGTGTTGAGGGGTTTAGTCATCGTTGATGGGCAGGTGCTCCGCAACTCACTTCCCTGCCATCTCTGGCGACGAGCTACATATGCTCAGATCCTCACAGTGGCGTTGAAGCATGATGCGCGGAGCTGCGCCGCCGAGACGGGGAGGACATGATGCTGTAAGGGCACTGGAACTGATGAGGCGCGTCGGTGCGACCCGATTGGGAAGTAGTGCGTTGGCAAGACCCTGACGCCAGGATGGCCAGCGTAGAGTCTGTGAGGGGGACGAGAACGAGCCACACTGAGGAGTAGTAAGTACACCGAAGCCAAGTACTTGCTTCCCGCCAGGCGCCCGATTTGCCGACCCCTGTGCGCGACGATGAGAGTGCCCGCTGTATAAGCTGCTGGGCGCGTTCCCGTAAGCACCCAACGTCAACCAATCGACGACCCTGGATCCGACACCGACTCGCATGACTTGGACGCCGCGCGTTGCGTGGACTATAACCCACAACAATGCCGGGGCGTGCAGGGCAGCAAAGAGGGAGTGGACCGACAGTGTTGTCTACGGGGATGAGTGCAAGGGAGATCGGGGCCGCGGCAATGGTGGCTGTATGGAAAAATAACGAGGACAATACTTGGAGTGAGTACTCACCTGAGAGCGCCAGAACCCCAATTTATCCAAAACAAAGTGCCACCACTCCCTCGACAAAGGCACCGAGCAGCCATTCGACAATGGAAGAAAGCCGCAAATGGCTTGCCACCGAGAAACTCGCCACTCGGGGCGGGCGGCGGAGGCAACGACGTCACCGTCGACGTGGCGTGTGGTCAGCCATCCATGACCTCGGAGGCGCCGCAAGCAAGCTCGCGAGAGCTAGGGTGTAGGTTTGGTTGGAAGGAGGAAGAGAGAGTATGTAATCGTATCGGCCGTCGGCCAAGCTTCCCCGCCCTCCCGACAACTTGATCAAAACTTGATGGCTGGCAGGCGCTGAGCCGGGTAAGCCCGAACACCGCTCGGCATGACGTCCGAGATCTATGTGGCACGAAATAAGTTCCGGGACCGAGTGGTGAAAAACTTCGGGGACCTTCTGAGCCTTCTGAAGCACGCAAAAATAAAAACTTGGAGCAGAAAACAGAAATAAAAGGCATTTGATTAAATGACCAACTTGAACGGCATAGCCGATACAAAGGCAATGGCCCATAATATTTTTTTTGGATAAGAGCAGCGGTCTCACCATGTCGAGCCGACGGACGATGCACGATTCCGTCGGTGCGCCCGGCACAGAAGATCTAAAACTCATCGGGAAAGCCAACAAACGTACAAACGTTCAGGAAAGCCGTCGACACAGGGCTATGTAGATTGACGCGCGGCTGCACCCTACAAAATAGGCGTATTTAAACCCCGCTGTCCAAATCCCCAGTCAATGGAAACCACACAGCAACACGTCGGACGCACGCATTATTAAACACCACGTTCTTGCTCTCCTTCCTTCAAGTTCATTCAATCTGCCGCTTGAATAACGACAAACGGACTCTGGCACACACCTAGTAAACTCCTCCCAACTGTCGACGGACACAGACAGATCTCTATTTGACCTGCGGTCATGCACCCCACCCAATACGAAAATACGCATACTCAACCTCCTCGTTGGGCAGCTCACCACTGCACACGATCGTCTCTTTGGCGCGGATACACAGTCTTGGACTTGCTCCCGATTCGGATGAGGGGCTGAACCCGAAGGCCTCCTCGACGCTTTGCGACTCCTTGGTATGCGTCGGTCGGAGGGGGATGACGAGGTGGAATTCTGGATCTGGGGATCCGGACGACGACGAAGACGGAGGAGGACCAGCAAGCAACCGCGCGACGCACGCCCGGACCCACTCTGCGTGCGGGGGCTCGTAGATGATGTCTGCACCGAGTATGACATCAAACGGGGCCTCAAACGGTGGTGCGAGGACGGACGATGGGGCGAATGAGGAAGAGAGGGAGTAGTCGAGGGCTGCCGCTGATACCGATACAGCCACGGTACTCGTTGTGGAGGGAAAGTTGGCCGCGATGTTGACGCCGAGATTCTGCAGAACACTGGGATACACGTCACTGCACACGAGCTCCACGCTGCGCCCCAGCCGTTCGGCAGCTTTGGCAAAGACAAGCCCAGCAAGACCTGTCCCGGCGCCGAGCTCCAGGACGCGCAGCGGAGAGTGGGAATCCAGCGAGGAAGTGGGAGGAGCCAAGTGGAACGTCAGAGGCTGCGTGACAATCAGCTCTGCGAGAACACAAGCACCTCCCCATGTCTGGGCGCCCACACTCGCAAAGTCGTTTTCGAGCGGGATATCACGGAGTGAGATGCTCAACGGGGTTTGGCCGCCCTCGGGAGAAGGGAAGGACAGGTTGCGGGTGAGGGTCCCTGCACTGGCGCCACCACTGCAATTGGCCAGCAGAGCAGCTGCACGGGCGAGCACGGGCTCGATATCGAGATCGGTGGCGTCTGGAGAGATGAGGTGGGCGTTGTTGAGGAGGTAGGTGAGCCATCGTAGAGCGTAAGCACGCTCAAAGCCATCGGCTCGCAGCGTAGTGAGCTCGTCGTCATCGTCGATGGTGGCGGTCTTGTACTCGTGGCCCAGGAGGATGCGTGAGCCGCGGACAGGAGGTGTGTATAGCACACTGAGGTAGGTGATGCATTCGGACAGAGTGGATACCGAGAGCGTCGGCAGGAGGCGCAGGGCGGGGAGACGAAGACTCGGAGGCTCCATTGATGAAAGGAAATTGATCCGATCAGTTTCGGCGACACGGCCTGATGCAAGCAAAGTTCGTCGTTCGATCTGCAGTCAAGGCAAGTACGGAGTACTTTGGTCACAAAAAAATTGTGAAAATTGACGCAAGAGATTCCCAAGAGATCTCACTTGCTCTCTGATTCCTGAAAGCTCTCTGAATGCTTTGAATCAAATCCTGTCATCGTCGTTAGCTCAGCGGTTATTACACCAAGTAGGCTTCATTCATGGGAACCCACTCTGTGTCTCTCAACATTCAATTTCCTCGCCACCTTGACCGCATACTGTACTATTTCGACCAAAGATTCAGTGACGCGTGACGAGGCCTCGTGAAATGAAGGATTTTGCACCCGGTGACAGGTGACATTCAAAATTTTCGCTCCGGCAACTCGGAAAACAGTGATTTCCCATCAATTTCAGACGGAATGTGTGATCCGATGGATGTCATCAGTCCATATTAGGAAATTTGATCTGATGGCCGCTCGGTGAATCTCTTATCTGGTGAACTTTGGCGGTGACGCGTGACACCCAGTGAAGGATTGGTCGAAATAGTACAGTAATTGGAACGTGTCACGAAGATTAGCTTGCAATATCTCTCGAAGTTCAAATAAAAAAGACCTAAATGACTTTCCAGCTAAGAAGTGCAATCCCGCAAAAGACACCCCTGGTTGCGTGGTGTAAGGGTCATCACTGCAGATTCTGATAGAGAAGGCCGTTGAAATCCTGAAATTCTGCCAATCCCGGTTTGATTCCGGGCGCGACCTTTCAGTTTTTGCGCCGGGCCTTGGCCGGGCGCATTCCATGACTGTACGTAACCTGCGCACGCTCCATCAACTTTCCCCCCCATTGAAACAGCTTCTTGGCCTATAAGACGACGAACGAGTTCAACAGAGGTTCCGCTTTCGGGCGGACACCTGCACTGGGCGGCGTGTAGGCCTGTCGACTCCCGCATGACACACAAGACGTGCCTTCGCTTCACTCCGGCAGTATATTTCGGTCTACGGTCATTTTTTTTCATATTGATGGCTCATCTTCCAAGTTAGAACTCATATGATTTTTCTTATCCGTAGTCAGTATGAAAGAAGGAATGTTCAATATAGTACATCAACAACAGCCAAATAGCACTACGTGGGACATCCACCCTCCATTGCATATCTACATCTACGGCGAAAATCCCAGTGGTCCATCAGAAAGCCTGGAAAGAAAAGACATGTAGAATTACATTCCCTTTTGACCCACCGCTGGATCCAGCGCGCAGTTGCACTCTACGCGTCACCTTACATCAATACATCGAGCGTGAACCCACAACCCGGGGGCGTCGAAGGACGCAGCTGAGAGCTGAATCGGATAGGAGGACACTGGGCGATAAGTCGCGTGATTTGAAGGGAGACGACAGACTGGTGAGTGCACCGAGGGTAAAGAGGTCGAGTACTACGCACCTCGGGTCAGAGTTTGCGGCCGAGCGCACAACGGGGCCGGATCCCCAGCCGGTTGAGTCTGGAATCAAAAGAGTGAGGAGAGTACCACGCACCGTCGCACCCTCATTTCCACGCCAGTATCCCGCCCCTCACCCAGAGCGTTGCAAAAATGCGAAGCTGATCAGCGGTTGGAACTTGAAAGCGCGTAGAGAATCGGCCAGTGTTCCGAGACCACGTCCATTGGGACATAAAGATTCAAGGCAGCGACGTTCCTTCGTGGCTGGTTATTTGCAGACCGGGGTCAAATCTTCGACTTGAGTCAGGCCGGTTTAAATTTCGAGGGAACACGGCTCGGCGCGGGCAGAAAGTTGTGATGCGATGATGGGTTCGCCAAGAAGCCGGTTCGAGGACAATTGAGACAATGCGCCAAGACCAGTAGGTAGGGATGAGGGTAGGAAAATGTGGGGCGCCGTCAGGGTAGGCCCAGAAGAAAATGAAAGACATCAGCGGTGTTGTTTCAAATTCATCTTCAGATTTGAGGACACGCCGGGAGGAAGGATTATCGAGGGAAGGAATCGGTGGACATCAATTCAGGGCTTGAGGTTTATATGAGACGGCTGCCGAGCGCATACGTAGCCACGGCGACACCTGGGGCCCCGAGATGATCCATTGTGGTAAAGACTGCTGTGGAAAACATCCGAGCGCGAGAACCAAGCGAGAACGCGCGTTCTTGCCGAGTTGATTGTCGGTCAACAACGGGCAGTAGGCTGAGCAGAGGGAACCTACCTTGGGATAATTTTCTCAAGATCAATAGCGACGCGCGGCCAACGCACAGCGCTCGGCATGCATACATCGCGTCGAGCCGGTGATGTACGCAAGATGTACGATTTGAAATGCTGTTGAACCGGGAGATCAGGGTGGCGCTCGTGGGAGAAATGTATGACAGAGCTGTAGAGAAGACATTGGGTCGACGGCTAGTCTCACCAGTCAGACGGCTAAGTTCACCCTAAAAGGGAACCGGCCTGAGAGACTAGTCGACGGCACGATGAGAGAGTGAAACAAAAGGTGATTGCACAAATGGGGAAGTACAATCAAAGATGGAGCCATAATTTTAAAGAACGGATAATAAGTAATCGGCATGCTCAGAAGCTGTCTAGACCCAATACTTTTCATTGGCATTGATCATGGCAAGGTTTCTGATGTCAACGTGTGAACGAAAACTGCGAAAGAGAATTTCCACAGTTACAATACGAGGAACGCTGTGCAAGCAACAGGTTTTTAATCCTCCAAAAGCGAACCCCACCCGAGAGCTCCAATCGGAGTATCGTCGGAGTTTGTTGTAGGCCCCAATCAAGTAGGTTCTAGATTGACGAGTACACCGGCGAGGAAAATGGCTGCCCTCAGGCTGAGACGCCACGTGGGAAGGCAGAGGAAAACAAGATGCAGTTCAAGAAGACTAATTTACAAGGAGATTCGCAATTACACCGCGATATCCTGAGACGAGCGGCAATCCTTTCCGCCGCGATTCGGCATCTCAGGTCGACCAAGTGACACCGCTGAAGACTTGGGTGTTGGAGGCCTGGATTCCGAGGTGCTTCGGCCAGTCGTCGTACGCTGGATTGATTTCTCAGTATGTCAAATAAAGACTGATGGTTGTAAGCACTCACGGATGAACTAAGTGGAAGTCAAGATCATGAGAGAGAGAGAGAGAGAGAGAGAGATGTACGTACGTAGGCGGAAAAGTCGGTGCCGACGTTATCATTGGCGTAGAACACGATATGGTCGTTGTTGTATTTGGCGTAGAGACCGGTCTTGAGGTCACTGTACTTCTTGAACGAGAGGTTACCGTTCACGGCTTGCAGTCGGTGTCAGTCAGTTCTACTCTGTTGGGATGTCTGCGGCATATCTCACCGACGGCAACTCCATCCAAGGTCCCGTTGTCGTTCCACACAGCAGTCTTGCCGTCCAGCGAATCGATGGTGAGCGTGATCTTGTTCTCGGTACTGATCTTGCGCACGAAGGCGGTACAGATACTGATGTCGAGGTTGACCCAGTCGCCCTGGTGAGATTTTCAGTACTTCTGATCATACTCAACGCAGAAGTAATCACCGTGGAAGAGTATCCATCCATCTTGTATGAGTCGACGAGTGCAGCCTGTCAATAACATGGTCAGCCAAAAATCTGATCTTTGGAGTTGTAGCCGACGAACAGTGTCCTTGCCGATGAACTATAATGCATTTGTGCGTCAGCGTCCGTTGATGACTGGTCGATTCACGACTCACCTCAGCAAATGCCTGGTCCTCGGTGTCTCCATCCCTCCAGAACTTGATGTTCACGTAGTTGTCCCCGCCGTCCACGACCTTGTGGACCTTGTAGTTGGCGGAGACCTTGCCGCCCTGCCTCTCATCCTGGGGCTCGAAATCGTCGCGACTGTTGTAGTAGAGGAGTCCCTCGGGGTCTGTTCGAAGTATCGTCAGAAATCATCTTTCACAGACGACTAGGACGGCGCGCTTACCAGTTCCAATCCACGCATGGTCGGTGAACTCTTTGCCCAGATCCTGGGCCTCGATGCGGACAGCCTTGGCGCCCCACTTGTCCTGGAAGAGGAGGGCAGCGGCGACGGTCTGGTTGTGGAGCTTGGAGGTGATGGTCATCCTTGTGAGTGGGCTCGACTGGAGAAGTGAGTGAGGGAGAGTGTGTCTGATATCCAGTTTTTATACCTCTGCTCTTTCCATTTCGGATATTTCACGACTTGGTGTGGGATCATGTTGGATGTCGGACCAGGACAGTCCTCTTGGATGGACGTCACTGGGGGTGACCTTGTGAGGCGAGAGAAACAAAAGATAGACCGGTGGCAAATGTTTCCGAGGAACACGAACCGCTAGCCGAGAGAGAGCCACAATACCTACAAAGAGCGGATATATTGAGTTGGAGCGCACAATTGAAATGGTGACAAGTGGAATTATGGCTTGCGCTATCGGAACCACCGATGTTGAGAGATAAACCCAGGAATAGAACCGGCGATGCACAATTCCGAAGATCTACGGACACCGAGGAGACAACTTGAACTTTGTGATCAAGGCGCGGCTGACCGCTGGTTCTGCGGGGTGGGAAGAAGGGTGTGTGAGTGTCCGCTCGCCGCAAGAGACTTCCAGTACGAAGCTTAAGACGAGTCTCCTCCGCCGAAACCTGATTCAGTTGGTGCCACAGTGCGACGGAGCCTTGGAGAACGCTTCAACGGAGAACTCTATCTCTTGCAAGCCTCCACATATCCTCGCGGCTGGTACATATCTCATCAAGTCAGCCATGCTTTTCGTGTGAGGCAGGGCAGTCTTCTCACCGATTCAGTGTCGAAATGTCTCTGGAAAGCCCTAGTGCCGGCGTTTCCCGCTCCCTCAAGATATGAAATCTCCAATGTTCTAACGTTGCTGCCCTGAGCAAGCCTTCGTGCCGAGACCTGTGGAATTACGGTTTCGAGTGACCGGGAGATCCGAGAGCTAGTCGCAGCCACGAGACAGCCTCAACGGAGTCTAGACGGTAGCCTTTTGCCGAGTGCGATGGCTGTTATTGGAGTAGACCAGGATCCGTCGTACTCAGAGTCTCAGACGTGGTTTGGACGTGGTCAGGTCCCAGGACGTGCTAGGACGTGGTGACGATCAGATCACTTTCTCTGCTCTTTCTTCGACCACCATCATCGTCCTTATGCTGCCCCCAACTCGACGTTCGTTGGCGGTGTCTAGAGGGAGGTGCATTACTTATCACAGTCTGACAGGTACCCGATCGACAGGTACTTGACACCAGTCAAAGCACAGCAATCGGGCGGTGCATCTGATTGCCGTGTCGCCGACTCGCCACTCTGTCTACCACCACCACCACCTCATGCTCCAACTCGACGACGACGTTCTCTCGCTCATATTCGCGCTTTCGGATGTATATACGATCCTATCCTTGTCCAGGGTACTACGCAGCCCGGTCAAACACCCTTCGCTAACGCCTCACAGGTGAATCGGACCTTCCATCGAGTGGGGTCCTCCAAACAACTTTGGATTGAGGTAGCCCGGGACTTGATCGCTCGGGGACTGCTCCATCCACTTCCCATCGAAGATCTCAACAGGGAACTAGTCAAACGCACCATCGCCGGTCCTCGAACCTGGCACCCACGCTCCATCGCCCCAGTCACGCTGCTCCATCAATCGACGCTCGTCATCACTCGAAAACTGCGTGGATGCCAATTTCTCTCCGACGGCAGACACGTCGTGCAGTACTCTCAAGCTTCGGCTTCGAGTAACAGCGCGGTGGAGTTGTGGGATGTCCAGAGCGGACAGAGAGTTTGGAAGTGGGAGCAA